GCACGACTTGGTTTCAGACGTCCAATTTTATTCAGTCGAATAGAATGGCTGTTGCCGAAAACAAAACACAAAAATAAAAAAAACAGTTTAGCAAACTTTTAAATGTATTCTAAAGTATTTATAATTTATGAATTGAGTTCGGAACGGCGATAGCACGACGTTTGAAACCAAGTCGAGCTACTGCCGTGCTACACGGCAGTAGCACGACTTGTTTCAAACGTCGTGCTACTGTCGTGCTAAAGTCGAATTTAATTCAATCAGTTGAGTGCGGCACGGCAGTAACACGGCGTTTGAAACGGGCCTAAGTGTATCTTAATAACTCTTGCTCAGTTTACGCTAAAACGTGTCACAATTCTCCAATACTGATCCCTTATAAAGCAAGTCAGGCCCCCTATATTCTTTTTCCGCTTAGAATGTGACATCGAGAAAAAAAAAAGAACTTCTTGTCTCTCAGTCGTTGTTTAATAAAACGTTTCGTATTTTACGAGTTCTAGATATAGCCATAAATAGATAGAAAAGGCTAATTTCTCTAAATTAAAGAAATAAATCTGAGTAAATGCTTCCTCCATAACTAGACGCACGTGTCAGTCTAGAGGTCATACGGATTCCTGAGTTTGTTCCTATTTTCGGCTCCTGTTGAAAACCACAATTTTAGCGACGGTTTGTCTGCATGGATTCGAGTCATAAATAGTGCTACTAGCCGATTATTTTAGTGTTGATTTAATTTACAGCATGCGTTTATTTCATTGACTGGTGCCCTAAGTATGAATTACTGTGTCACAATTTGATAAGACTTGATTTCACAAAGTTAATCCGCCCAATGCATACAGTTTTATGACCGTGCATTCTCGAAGTGAAAGCTAGTTATACAGAGGTATTTCCCTGGAATACAGGCTATTACGATATTCACGGTGTATTCAATTATAAATATCATCAGTATTTTTATTATCATTGTTGTTATCATCATCACCATCATCATCATCATCATCATCATTATTTTTCCTTGCAATTTGGGGAAGCTGATGGTTAAGAAGTTTTTTCCTGTGACGCGCCGTCTGTTTATGTTTGAGGTGGGGTTATCCTTTCATTCTGTGGAGGAAATCCAAACTTTTGAGTGAAAGCTTATGTTTAATACTTCCTTTTGATGCTGTTTATTTTCTGTGCACGAGGCTGTTTTAACTTTTGATTCTGTTAAGGAAATGCGAAATTGAAAGCTTCCGAAGCAGTTCTTTCCTGTGGTACTGTTTATTTGAACCGTTTTGACTAACTTTTTATTTTCGGCTGCAAAGGAAATCCAAAATTGCGAGTATTTACGAATGAAAGATATCAAACAGCAATTTCTGTTTACCATAATGTTTAAGATTGTTGCAGTACTTGAACTTCAGCATGAATCATTCAAATCTTAACGTAATAAAACCATTCAAATGAAAACTACGTACAAATGAATACTCTAATCGTACAAATTGTGCTTTTCGATGTTTAGTTCAGTTATCCCAATTTCGTTTATTTTTACTTTGCTGCTTTCGAGAAATCACTGATAAAACATGAAAAGCGGGAAGGAACTGGAAAGATAAAAAAAACACCTACGTGCGACTAAAAGAGAAGAATTTTTAAATACTCTATGATTGTTATAATACGCTAATGCAATAATAAAAAATTACAAATAGTTCTAGTTCGTGCCACTATATAAGTTGAGTTAGATTAGTCATTTTCCGGAAAAGACACAACAGAAGAATAACAACAAATCTCTTCCGATCCCACGGGATTTTGCAGAGCTACTTGTCTGGCAATAAATGCTCTGAAAATTGTCGCTCTCCCAGGGCCGGAGACGTTATTGTTACACCTCAGTGTACTCCTAAGGCATTCTACTTCTTATCATTTCGGAATACAGCCCGGCACTCCAACCCTTACATCATTCAATCAATGACGGGATAAGAGAAGGATTACTCGAGGGTCTGCATATAGCTCAGTGTTTTAACTGACATCTGACATCCGGGATCTGAGACTGAACGTAACTCATAACCGAGAAAAGGAACCCGTATTTAACTGATTGACAGTTTTCTGAACTGAGTCAATAAACGAAAATTGTTTTTTTATAAGTTATAAACTTTACCATTTAAATTGCTCGATTCCAAAGGTTTCAGACGTTTGATTGAAAATTTGACGATTTTATGCTTAGCTCCATGCTTTCACGCTCAGCGCACAGTTTTTGCACGTTCTTGTTTAGGATTGGCGCTAAAAGCGTCGCCATTTTGCCTAATCAACCCAGCAAATTAATAAAAGCAAAGTTTTTGAAGTTAAGCCTTCGAAAGGCTGAGACTTAATCCGCCCATTTGCTTTATTCATGTGAGGTGTAAAGAGTCCACGAGCCGTTACAGCCTAGCTTGAACGAGATACAATTTACTAAGAGTCACGTTTCTAGTGGTTTCTTTTCTGTGATAATTTGCAGAAACGTCCTACCACCCCAGTAGCCGCAATTACTGTCTTCCTGTTTCACTTTAAAATTGACTGATTCAAGAGGTTACCGGTAATCGGTTTTGCGGTTTAGGGTTCCTCATTCCACTGCAGGAGTGCAGGGTGCAAAGAAAAGGAGTAGCTTTTAATAGGCGAAGTGTTCAAGTCTTCAAGGGCTGAAAAAGACTTGGTTATATTTTCTCTTGTGTAGTTTATGTGAAATAACTCTCTATCAAGAATCCGCTACACTGGGGTCCGTTCTCCTGTCTGTTTGATTTCGGCTGCATTGACACTTTCGCTTATATCGTTAATTACTACACCGACTCCAAAAATATAAAACTTACGATTAGGTGACCTCGTCAGAACTGGTCAAAACTAATAAATCCGAGAAATTAGATACTCAGACAGGAAAATTTTAACATTTTCGATTGATGAGCTACAGAGCCACTTAAAAGAAGGAAGATCCAGGAAAGGGCGTGGCTGTTGTGAGTTAGGCGGCTGCAATAGTTGACAGGGACTCCCGTTAAGACAACAAAACTAGATACTTCCAAAGTTTAGAGATAAAATAAATTGCGTAATCAGAATGTGAAGAGGAATTTTCTCCCAAACTTCTAAAATCGTGCGAAGCTGTAAAGACACGCGTCAAATTTAGGCAACCAACGAAGCTATAAAACTGATGTAAAAGATCGATCATGATTCTATTTGACGAACCTTTTTTGTAGTTCACATGCAATAAAATGTCAGTTCCTTTTCTCACTATTGAGTAGTTTTAAAGCAATTATTGTTCAAAGCTCTGTTAAAAGCTCGACCAAAGGACCTTTAGCTCGACCGTTAGGTAATGTATCCTGTATGTCCTAAGTAAAAATTAAAAGGTATCGTAACAGGTGTTTTATTTTCTTTTTTCTATCACCTGTTACTGGTCTGTTATAACTTACGATTGTACAAAAACACTTAAAGATTCAAGACCCTTGATGAGCGATTTTTAATAATGAGATCCATCTGACTGTAACGTATAGGGAAATATGAAGTACAAAACAAAACCTGACAGACTGGTTTATGAAGTGTAAAATTGGGCCCCAGTGAGGCCCGTTTCAAACGTCGCGCAACTGCCGTGTCGAATTCAACCAGTGATCGAATTAATTTCGATTTGACACGAAGCGTTTCTGTCAGCTTTCCTTAGGTTAATGAGAACAAGAAATAACTCCTGCGATAGAGCAGATAGAGTTTAGAAGCACTTTGTAGTTAGCTTGACAATGAGGTATAATGCCTCTTTGATGGCAACAGATCATAATCCCTTATGTTCAGAGCTGAATCGTTTTGATATTAAGATGTAGTGTTATCAGTGGCCAGATAGTATTCCCAAGATGTACACTGCCTAAGAAGATGGTCAACAAGGGTTTTTTACTGATTAGCTAAACATCGCTCTAAATTGTTTTAACAGATTCGTCCTCCCTCCAAAATTTAAAAGGACAGAAGACGTATATAAGAAGTAGCTTATGTGAACAATGAAACGACTCATTCGGGCTGCGAGCAGATCAGAATATAGCATTCTTTGCAGAGACAGCTGCTCGCTTAAAGAAAGGAACTAGCTTAGCATTCAAGTTTGAGATTAAAAAAGCAAAAAGTCGTTTAGATTACTGAATCGCGTGTTGCATGGTTAATGGCTCCTTGGAATAGATAAGACTCAAGACAGACCACTTCAACACTCCGAGGAGCCACATTCATCAGTCGTGTTTTCTGAGATAATAAATTAGACAAACGCTAAACGTTTTACAGTAAGGAGGCTGGACAAAAGGCATTAATAGGATAGCCCTATTGTTTATTGCTGTATAGAATCAATTGTTGGATTAAAGATTGTAAAAATAGTGAGAGTGCCATTAAAGTTTTGTCAGCCTAAAAGGTGTGAAAGTCTAACACATCAGCTGCACCGTAAATGTTATGGCTCTCAAGTAATCCGCTTAATCTTCGTGGGAATACAAAATTTCGAACAACGCATGCATGAAATTTCCAGAATTAAAATAGATCAAATAAATACCAAGTAAGTGATAGAAATCAATTAACACAGCATCGTGACTGACGTTCCGGCTTGTTTTTCTAGCCATAAATGAAGATTTGTTATAATTGTATTCCCCTAACTGATGTTTGCTAAAAAAGAAAACATACATATATGCCAAGGCTTTTTTACAAAGCGAAATATGTTTATTTACATTGACATGATCTGAGGAACTCGAAAGACACCGGAGTTGGGCAATATTGCGGTTCTTATTCCACGTTTTGGTCGAAGCGCTTTAAATTTGCTTGAAAACACAAAGGCTCATTACGTATTTTAGCATCTCCAAAAAGACACGCGTAAATGTTTCTCGTTCCTTTGTTGCCAGTTAAAAACATTTGACAGTGGCTTTTGTCCTTTACAGAGGCTGGAAATTCGATCAATATACACCTAGCACCGCCCACTGCCCTCTGATTAAAATTCGCGGTCCTTCACCGCTGTCTGGAACATCGTGGATTTGTCACAAGCAGAAAGATCACTTTCAGCGTGGAGCATCATGTCACTTTCGCTGTGTTTCAGCGCAATTCTTCTCCTGGCCTCGCAACGTTCGCAAGCTTATACAACACGGGGACACTGCCAACCTGTGCCGAATTTTTGTAGGAATTTGACGAATGGCGAAGGCTACTCTTTAATGCGGCTCCCGAACGCGTTCAACAATTATCAACTGGATGAAACAGTCCGAGCAATCAGCGCTTGGAATCCTCTTGTTGGCCGGTGCCATGCAGGCCTAAAGCTCTTCCTCTGTGCGATTTACGCGCCAATTTGTCTTCATGACAAAGAAAGCGGCAAAGAAGTTACCATCAAACTGTGCAGGTCATTTTGTTTAAACGTGAAAGGAAGCTGTGAGCCGGTGATGAAACAGAACAATCATAGCTGGCCTCTTCACGACGCCTTTAACTGCTCGCAGTACGTGGATAACTCAATGTGTGTCCGAGAAGACTTCATTTCTGCACCGACGACCCCCAAGACGCCGACGACGACGCCGACAACGAAAACAGGTCTGTACCGCTAAATGGACGATTACATCGCATTAGTGTTTGCAGCTTAATTTGTAGTTATTACAAAGCAACATGATCAAAAGATTACGACCAAGGAATTCTTGAATCAAATTGGTTCTGTTAAGTACAAGGCAATTTAAATACCAACAGAGTTTTACTTTGAAGATCTGTTTTATTCTTTTAACTATTTACAGCGAAACGATCATCCCTCTTTTGATGTTTTGTTTCTCCTATCTACCCGCAAACACTTACAACACAGCGGTTGCTATGATTACATTATTAGGTATTTCCTACGGAAAGGGCGCGAGTTTAGGTTGTACCCATTGGAATGCTTTACGCCTGTATTCTATATCGATTAATCCTACAAACATTGGTTTGATTTGTTATTTCTACAGTCAAGAATGACATCTGTGATCCAACTTTACATTCTGATGACCACCTACTTGAAAAGGCTTGTTCAAGTGATTTAGGTAAGACCTGTTAACAACTGTCATTTCTAGTCTCCTAGACAGGCTAACTTTAGCTTAAAAAAGACACACACAAAACCAGGAATACAGATTTCCGGTCTACGAAATTCCTGTGATGGTGTTTACACTTGATTCTTCAAAACGGGCCATGAAAGGAGGGATGCATTTTTTTTCTTTTTGTGATTAGGCTTGAAGTCATCAACATAATTGAACGCGAGCGTGGGATGGCAAATTTGTCGCCTTTAATCTTAAAAGAGGTGTCAATGACCATCGAAACGACGGGACAATTTTGACACCCGCGGATGATTTCATAGACCACCAAAAGTGGAAATTGCCTTTCGGTATCTTCCGAGTCCTACATAGTCAACCTTGAAAATTCAGACTATGTTTAAGGCCCAGAAATTAGCCTTTTTTCTAACGTAAAGCCTCAATCACCTAATTGTTATTCTTTGCAAGCTACGCAATGACAAAAGAATCCCTATTTTTAAATTCGTTGGTGTATAATTAGAGTCGTGCAAATATGCCTAGTTAACAAGGAGCACATGGAAAAACAAACCTAAAGGTGAAATTAAAGTGTCTCGCACAAAGTTTTCACTTGTTTGGATACACACTTCATAAGCACCGCATAGGGCAATGACAGATTGGTTATTAGTTAAGTAAACGTCATTTATTACTAATGACCATATTCATTACACGTCTGTCAATGGAACGTTCTTTGAATCGGGCTGCAGGTTTCCTAAGTAATACCTAGGAATTGAGGTCTTTTACTGTGCGCTTCAGGGACAAATATTCAGCATTCCAGAAATGAGTCATATCTTGGTATTGATTCTCCCAACCTACTGTAATATGCTCACTTAATCCAAGCTGTCAGAGTTTTGTTAATATTAAATTGTCAAACACTCCATACACGCTCAATCAATGCCCTCACCCGGCCGGTCTTCGAGAAGAACAGAACTAATATTAACATAAGATGATATAACTGCTGTTGAGAGAGACATTAAATTTAGAACGTCAGGTAAAAAATAGACGCTTGTAGTGTACCCGGTGTAGGAGGTGTTCAACATCTCTTATTTCCTTTGCCTCAAGCGTGAAGTACAAGAAGGGGAAGATGTCGTACACGTGCGCACAAGCGAGAGTCCATCGATTCAGAGCTGAGAGACACTTTATTAAAGCATAGCGCCATTAACGGATAAATCAACATCCAGTGGATAAGCTTTACAAAAAGGAACATTGTCCATTGGAAAAGAGATTTGGCTATGTAGATAACACTGTCCACCCTTTGAACAACTGGATCCTGATGTTTTTCGGTGATTTTTGTTTATCGGAGAGTCTTGTCTAAGGCGTTTTTACTGTCAATAATGTACAAATAGCGAAAACAATACTACTTCAGGTACCTTCAGTTTTATTTGCTCTATGCGAAACATTTATGAGTAGAACACACAGCTGGATTTTGTTTAGAATACCACCTTAAATTAGTTAGCAATATCAGTGCTTGAGATCTTTAAATTTCGAAGTTTCAGCTAAATATAACCACATTTATTAAGAGAATAGCCTAAGTAAGTATTTAGATATCCTAAGGTATCCATTGGAAGACTCTTTTTGACTGGCCTTCCAGTAAGCGGGCACTCTTTTAGCAAGGTATTGCCCGTCCTAGTTACTTAAACCAAACATGTCTTGAGCCCTGAGAAAAGATAAACCCTCTCTCATCACGACTTGACTAAGGCTTCCAATTCAAACTAGCACTCTCCAGCGAGATAGTCTTAAGGAAGGATGACCCATCCTATCCTCAGACTTTCCACGATTTTACTGGCTTTCCTGAGTGTGAACTACGTTTGTAACCGCATTTTTTAAGCTTCACTTATGTACAGAGGTGCACTTGTTACATTGTGAAATCGAGTTTATTGACTTATTACGTTGAATTGAAGTGGCATTATTACTGAACCTCTCTATGGGTACCGGTACTGACGTCGTTTTCGTCGCGCGTTTTCCGTTTAAAGAGGGAATAAACGACTTGTATTTATCAACGGGCACCCACACAGCAAACACGTAAACCAGTACTTTAAATTTTGATTATCGTTTTTTACTGATGTTTTAACTGTGTTTCAATAAAGTATGTCTGACGTCTATGCCTATCAAATCGTCGGTTTTTCTATGAAATCGTCACATCTTAAGAATTGTCAGTTTGTGTCGAAAGACTGCTAGCAAACTCGGGTAACCACGGCGACGACGACGGAAACGAGTTAATAAAAAAGTAACAAGTTTGATAAGCAAAAAAAAAAAAAAGCTCTGAACGTTGACAGATTTCTTTGCCGTAGAGAGTTTTATTGCTGTTTCAAAAAACCAATGTGGTCTCTTAATGTAGGGGTGTGAAAACCGTTAAGAAAATGTTATTTATCAATGAAGGTATTTAAAAATGGAATCATGTTACAAAAATACAAATTAAGATTAGTATTTTCTCTTAACCAACTAACTCTTTTACTTTGAAAAAGCCTAGGCGTGATCGAATACTGCTTAGTGAAGCAACCTCATTTTTGTTTGATCATCATGTTATCCTATCATTTTGCTTTTTGGTTTACACCTTTGGGGAGGCGGATCGGGTGGTAAAACAAGATTTTCAGTCGTTTAAATCTATTCATTTGTTTGTCAATCTGTGTTAAACGATTAAAAAGTTTCAAAACTTTATTAGAGCTCGTAAGCGAGTTTATCTAATGATTGTGTTATTTATTTTATTTTGCAGCTATAAGAGCTGACGTAACTTCTATGAAAGACGCAAAAGTCGCAGACTCTTATACAGTTCTCAGACTCAAGCCGCGGCACAAGAGAACGTCACGGAAATCAAGAAAAGAGAAGGATTTTCCTGATCGGGTACTGATAAACGAAAACCTCTGCTCCAATTTGCGAAACAGAGTGAAAACAGACAACAAAAACGGTTATCTGATTTTTCTCGAAAAACGATCAGGAAAGAAGACCAAGTATATCGTCAAACTTATTCTTCCATTTAGAAACAGGCGTCATAAAAGACTGGTGAAGAAAAATCTCTGTAAACCGAATTAAAGAGTTTTGAGTCACTACAGAGAAAAAATACAACGAATCAGAAACAGCTGCAAGGAAACTTGTAGATGACGCTGACAGCAGCTAATCATTCGTAGATTAAAATACAATTTTATTTCAGTTTTGTATGACATCATCTCGGCCTTTATCAACTACACTTTGTGTTTGGCCTTGGACATTTTTTTTATCATTTAGAGAAGTTCATATTATTTGTATGGGCGAAGATTAGATTATTGGATGAATGGGTTATTACGTCTTGTATAGACTCACACTATTACGTAATTTACTGAATAGTCATCCTTCAAGACACAAATGGTACTATTATAAAGGAAATAAAACTCATTCAGTCAAAAGTTAAAGAAGCCTTTCCATTTAAAATAAGTATCTTTCGTTAAAGAACTTCCAGAATTTAGCAGACAGTCCAATACAGCTAATGAAATGTTGATGTCCCTTACTTTGTTTTACAGTACAATAGTTCGGGATCTTGGAATGCTTGTTATGAGCTCATTGTTTTGTGTATTTACAATATTGCATATGCTTGAATTATGAGTGACTCGTTCATGTGTTTGTGGATTATATCTGTTATGTATTCAGGAGCCAGCTTATAATGTAGAAAATTCTAGGAATCGTTAGCACCTCGTCTTGTTAATTAATCAACTTTCAACTGAACCATTATATAACGACTGGCCTCAACGATAGTATTTCATATGGAAAAGAAAGTCGATATAACTGGACTTCATCAGTTATAGCGAATTAAATTTTTATTTTGCCAGTCTGTTGGCCTTTTGATTTTTGAGGTTACATTGTGGACTGTTCATCTTTCACAGTTTAAGCAGTTAGTTATAAATCTGAGTTTTGTAACATCTCACAATTTTAGCGATTCAAATCTTGGAATTGCTATTATTTTTAGTATCCAAGATAGTTAGGTTTTAGATGAAATCCTCGTATATAGCTATTGATTCCAATATTTTAATTAATTTTCTGTTGTTTTTTTTTTTTTTGGGGGGGGGGGGATGATGGAAAAAAAAAACAGTAAAGATAAAAAATTGCGTTTTAAAAATTAAAAAAAATAAAATAGTATTTTTTATTTATAAATAAAAAAAAAATAAGAGAATAAAAATAGAACAATTAGTTAGAAATTAACAATTATTTTATATTTATTTTTTTTGTTTTCTCAATTTTTCATCTGTAAATTGTTTAATTGATATTTTTTTTTTTGATCATAATTATGATGTTTTATGTTAAATCCTTTGTTTATAGTTTTTTTCTGAAAATTTTTAATTTATTTATTTGTTTTTTTTTTTTTTTGGGGGGGGGAGGAGGACCGAAAAAAAAAACGGTTAAGGTATAAACCTTGTCTATCAAAATGATCAAGAGTTAAACCGTTTTTTTTTCTGTAAACTGAATTAAATATAAAGCGAAGAAAAGAGAAAAATATCTTGACGAGTTCCAGTGCTCTTTGAAAAGGAGCTGTAAAACGTTTGATAGTTTGAAATATTGTACAGCCAGAGAGAAAACAATGCATATGTATTGCACGTAGAGACGTTAAACTTGGCTTTTTTGTTTCGTACTTGTATAAGCTAGGTGCAAATGTATAGCATTTAATGAAAGCACTTTTATATGAAAAATGTGTCCTGATTTCAGTCTTCATGAATGTATATGTTATTTGGTTTCCATTTCGCTAGAGCATGTAGAGTAGCCGATAATTTTACAAAAGTTCGTTTTTCCCACGTTAGTCACCTTTGTCAAATACCACCCGAAATTTAATCCGGTTACCTCGCCTGAATTCTTCTCCTTCGATTCTTTGCCCTGTTAAAGTCACTGTGACTCAGTACACACTGACTTATTCCTAAAACTCTATCAAGCAACAAACTGAGTCGTTAATGAAGACAAAGGTTTCTGACTAATCGCTTTGTCTGTAGTTTATTTAATTCGGCGCTCCGGTTAGCGAGTCCGTATCTGGATGTTCAAAGATATTTTAAGCTGGAAAAATGAAAAACATTACAAACTAACAAAAGCGAGGACGTGCGTAAATGTATGGGGTGTTGCCCTTGCTGCAGATAATTTTTGCACTCGTTGACAAGCCCTCTCAACGTTCGCGGCTGCTTTTTTGACGGGGCACTTTTTGAATTTTTCTCGTAGGATCGATCGCTTTAACTTTATTAACTTAGTTAATAAAACTTAATGTTCGTATTTTACTCGCTGGCTACTTTTAGACTCTCTAGACATGCATTCTAAGCTGCGCTTTAAAATTTGTAGTATCTGTTTGGTCATTCTAGGGGAACAGGAGTCTTTTTGAAATTACAAGGGCTTCAGTATTATTTTCCTGAAAATTTTAGATGCTGAAAGTGAGAATATTTATATAGACCTTGTCACGGTTTTCGACGCCATCTTGACGAGTAGGCAAACGCGTGAGAAATTACAGTGTTTGTATGAGAATCTAATATCGAATAATTGCCGTAAAACGGCTGTTCTGAAGAATATGAATTGTAAACTAAAGTTTCACTCCTAAGGAGTCTACTCAAAAAATTTGAGGGCGTTCCATGCGCTAGAAGACCTAAAACAACGTTTTTAAATTTTTTATACATTTGTCTGTCAGAGAAAGTCCCGGGAAAAATTACAGACAAATATATGGAAAATATAAAGCAAGCGTTTTTTAGCACAATCCTTTGCTTTGTAGCTTTAGTTTACAATTTATATTTTTTTCAGAACAGCCGTTTTATGGAAATTATTCGACATTAGATTCTCATACAAACACTGTAATTTCTCACACGTTTGCCTACTCGTTAAGATGGCGTCGAAAACCGTGACAAGGTCTATTCCTCTTTCCGTCACATGAATCCGAAAATTTTAGGTTTCCTTTTTCTACGAAAATTAAACTAACATGGGGAGTAAAATGTGAGAAATTAAACTTCGGAAAATGGTAGGGAATTTATTAGATCAGTAAGATTCGAAAATTGTACCTGAATGGGACGGTCACCCTCAAGCAAATTGGGGCGAAAATCCGCGATTCTGTTGGTCAGCAACACATTGCAGCGCATGCTCCATTTTTGGGACCAAGATGGCCGATTGATTTCTCGTACAGGAGCATCTCTGCCTGACTATACGTATTTTAATATGAATCTGTCTCCAAAAGAACTTTCTTCCTTATTAAGGTAAGTCATTTGTCATTTGTTGCTTTCCTCGTGAATACTCGAGGCTGGAAAATCGAACTTTTTCGACTCGATCTTTAAATTACATAGCAACAAGTAGGAGCTGTAAGAAGGTAATCGAAAGGATAGTAAATGTAACACCCAAACAGCTGTTGGTAAAATGTCTGTAAATTGGTTCATATGTGAGACATGTGTTACAGACTACTAGTATTAGCGTTGTCAAAAGCGCTAACGAGCATTTGTATTGCTGCCATCGTTTATTAAACTTTTACTGCTGTATCCTAATTGTTCGTTCCAGTTTACGTCTAAGATAATTGCGTTGTGTCTCTTTTCTTTTAGCATCCTTGCAGAAGATTCTCTGGCTGTTTCATCTTTTGAAGCTATTGCTAATTCTTTACACCAACGTTTTAACAAAAATGAACATTTCCAAATTGGCTGTGCAATGGTATGATACTAAAGATGTTATATGCAAGTGAGGTTATCCTCTTTTTTTTTCTGTTTAGCGTCGTCCAACCGACCCAAATTCTTGGCATTTTTAAAAAACAAAAACATAAAAATGTAACGACGTAAGTAAACCATTTTTCACGTGAAATAATTCTTTTAATCTGAAAAATGAGCATAGTAACAGCATAGAGAAAAACAGGATCAAAAACAGCAACATTTTTTATAGTATATTGGGCATTTTGTTAATCCAAATATGTGAATGTTAACTTTTAACGTCATCCTGGGATACTAGGACCTCCTATTCTGAGACTTCTTGTCATTTTTTTTTTTATTTAGGTTTTTTTTTCAATCCAAACAACCGACCTACCCAACATCAGGAAAGCATTCAACGCTAAACGAAGAAAAAAGGGGATGGCCTTAGTATCAGGGCTAGGGTCCAAGTAGCAGGACTTGTTTACAGTCACTTTGTTCCATGATCAGTTTGGTTGAAACCAGTCGTTTCGATACAAAGTTGTTTTGATACAAGTCATTTCAATTCAAAGTCAAGTGGTTAAATTGCACAAAAATTTTTGACCAGTACAATAATAATTTGTATAGTTTGTGTGTGAACAAGAAAAACATTTTGGGTGAATATTCTCTGGTCTTTAAGCCTAGTGTGTGAAACTATTTATAATTCAAGTAAATAAATTTGTATCAAAACGACTTGTATTGAAAGGACTTTGTGTCAGAATAAATGACTGTAAATCAGATCGTTCCATCTCAACTTCAGATTATTCGTGTGGTCAGACTGTTCCACGTCATAAAAATACATGTAATAATGTAAATGTGTAAAGAGCATTTTTAGTATAAAACTTGATATGAGGAACACTCATTTGACTTTTTCGCTTAAAAAGTGGGGTATACACATAAGTAAAACACTTGTCACTGCTAGTGGCTTAAAACAATGACCTACATACATGAATACATGTTACAGGTCAAAGTTAAATTCAGGTTAAAATTTTTTAACCTAAGTGTAGGTTGGTTCTCACTTTCCTTTGTTTCATAGCCCTAATTATTCATGAAGTAGGGCTACATGTAGGAGACAAAGTAAATTGAGAATCAACCTAAGTTTAAAAATTTTAGTGGATTTGCTATTGGGCCAGAGTGAATTCTTTTCTTAAACCTCTCTTACGGGCAAGTGAAGTTTTTTGGGGGAATTCCAATTACCACAGATTTTTAATCAATTCTGCTCATCAAGATTTTATTTTGGGCTATATAAAATGTCTCCTGGGATAGTACATGTCTACAGTTTGTCTGAGTGGCAAGCTGTAAAACTGATGTTCTTTTAACCCTGTTGATACTGTAGTTGGTGTACCAATGCTCCTAATATTTCTTGTTGTGATTATTTCCAGTTAATGCTGTTACAACAACCTGACTTATTACCTTCAACCAGCCAGAGAATTGTGGTTCTGTTTTTGTTATATGAAATGTATAAATCTGAGCCTGTTGCTAACAATCCATTTGCATCAGTGTTTGTACATGTTTTGGTGAGTCTTCCTTCTTATTTGGTTGGTGCATGTTGCTCCAGGAGGGGTACTCTTGATTTCAAGTGACAGGGATGATTAAATGGGGGCAAAAATCAAAACCCAAAAAATCCGTTGGGCTTCCAACAAAACCCAAAAAATTCCTTGGACCAAAAATTAACCTACAAAAATCCCATGCCAAATTTCCAAGCCTTAAAAATTTCCAGAAAGCATTAACAGTGAGAACACAAAAACAGCCACAAAACAAGTTTGGTTGTACTTTATTCGCAGAACTACGTGGCCAGAACACGTAGGCACTACACTGTAACCACAAATCTTGAGATTGTTTTGAATACCCCCAAAAAATCCCTACTTAAATCAAGCCACACCAAATAATACTTGCCAAATTTTCCAACCCCAAAAAATACGAGAATCAAAAACTTCAAATACAAAAAAACCCTTTGATCATCCTGTCACATTGCAAATAAGGGACTGTTACGGTGCGATAAAAATTACACATACATGTATGTTTCGCTAGCTGCAATCCAATATGTTCATTACCGTTCTCAAAGATGCATTACAACGCCTTCGAAACCTAAAGTAGAATTAAAGTACAAATATCACTACGAGAACGCATAAATAAAATAATAACGAGCACGTGCATATGGAATGTCACAAACTTTCGCACGTATCAGCGAAACAATGTAATTATTACAAAAAGAAAAGAAATACAAGAACAGGCAAACAATGCATGGTGTACAGAAGCAGCAAACAATAGTTGCTAATTTCTTCAGTTTTTCCTTGGCTAAAATAAAAGGTACATTCTTGTAAAACTTGTTCTTGAGTGCCTTTTGTTTTCAGTTGTTATTACTGGAAATTGTTACTATCTTAACTGAAAGATTTAAACTTAACAGATGTACATAATTATTTTTATGATTTTGTTTTCTACCATGTACTGAATATGTGTATGTTATAAACACTACAATCAATGTTAAGATGCTCTCTTATCTCCTCTTTTCTCTTGACTATATCAATTGATATGAAAGTACATGTGTTTAATAGAATAAATGAATGAGCTGAGGGAAAGTTGAATTGAAAACACAGTAGTGTAAGATAACATTTATCATCATTTTAAAACTAAGATCATCAGTGTCCATTTTTAACCTTCAATGCCATTTTTTAACGTAGAGTTCAAACAATGAGGAAAGCAGAGTGTGTGGGCTCGAGTCTCTTCCTGCACTAAGCCAAGCTGAGAAGTCTTTTCTGTATCTACTGATCACAACACCATCAAGAGATGTAAGTGTTATATCGGTGTTCAAAAGGAGCCAATAACACAGGGTCCAGAGGAGACGTGTTTGTCATTAGAACATCAAAACCTGTCGAAAACCTCTGAAAAATGTGTTATTTTGATTGTGTTACAGTTTCATTGCACATTCTGTAGACTGCAAACCTAGAGACTGAGGGCTCGGAAGATCGGCTTACAGTATAAAATACAGAAAGGGAGGAAACAAATTTAGGGGCGATTTACGAATCCCTGAAACTCAAATGGAATTCATTCACGTCCATCCCCTAGTGATGCGGTTCACAGTGAACGAAGTCACGTGGTACAAGTTTCCTCCCTTGTCCTTTTTTTACTCGGCACTTCGGGCGACGTGCCGTGCGCCAGTGAGGATATGGCTTGCGGTTATTGATTTTCAAAATGGCAAACAACAAAGTCGATCTGGGCCAGATAAGAAGCAAAGAAATTGTTTACTGTAGATTCATAAAGATCCCATTGGGCTAATTAATCGTGCTAAGCGACAGGTATAGACATTTTTCAAGGTGAGACTTTAAATAAGTAATTCATTTATTCACACGAAACTCCTTTGGACCCTGTGCAAATAAGTGTACAGCTTCATAACTTTGATATTTTTAAACCCATTTTTCATTGTTAATTATTTTCTTGGTTTTTGTTTAGCTTTTAAAGAAAACACCTCGACAAGTGTTAGTGATGGACTTTCCTGGTGGAGGACAGGTAAGCAGGAAAAAATATTAAAATTTGATCTGAAAAGCGAAAATGGACACTAACAGTTTTCTGTTTAACAGGCAGAAAAAACAGATTGGAAACAGGTGTAAATGGTTACCAAAAGCGTTTAAAAATATTCCCATTCCCTTTTAATGGACAACTAAAAATATTAAATGATTGGGCTAGGGCATTAAACAAATCGACCAAAATGTTAAAAAGGTTGTACAAAAAGGGGGGTAGCTAAGAACATTAATGCTCTTTGAATAAGATTGTTAAACGATCGTAAAAGGAGAGCTCAAAATGTTAAACTTTTCAACAATAATTGGTAAACAGTTTCAAATGTCCTGCTAGTAATAGGAAATTCTACAAGATTAGATGCACCAAAAATGAAACAAACCACTGCAAACCCTTAGACCTCCTCAAGACAATAAACTCAAAATACACATATTCTATTAGAAACCTAACAGGTAGTCATTGTTAAGATACAGTACAAAAGAGCTTCTTCGATAGGCTGTTAGTCAACTTGTCATTAGTTTTTAGAAAAATCTCTCAGGTACAGCAATTATTGTTATAATTTGTGATATTCTGAGCTGTATTTTTTACAGGTCAAAATTAAATTCAGGTTAAAATTTTTTATCCTAATGTAGGTTAATTCTCAATTTCTTTAGTCTCGTTGCCACAACTCATGAATAATATTATGGCTAGGAGACAAAAGAAATTGAGAATCAGCCTAGGTAAAAAAATTTCAACCTGAATTTAATTTGGACCTATAACAACAGAGTGTCTATTTTGGCTTGGATGACTGTCAGGTGCCTGACAACTTACTGTATTACAATGTGGGGCTTGAATTTTTACAGATGAGCAATATACATGTATTTTATAACAACTGCAAAACGCAATAGTACCTCAAAGATATTAGCTCAGTAGAGCTACTCTGATAGTAGCACTTGACAATGGTAAAACTGATGACCTTGTGTCCCTGCATAACATAAACAAAAGATGAACAAGTTTTCATGCTTGGCCTTTTCTTGTGGTATTCAAAATTCTTGCATTAATTTGAGAACTCAGGTGGAATGACATCCAAAAATGAAACACTGTTGTCATTTTTAGTACCGGTAATTACATTTGGGACATTCTATTCTAGTTAGATTTTGCTTTTTGTGTGGAACTCGGCTCTGATACTCATCTTTGGAGTCACTTTTTGTCCTCAATAACCAACTCAAATGAAATGGCTATTATCTGTCAAACTACAGCTGTACTGTTGTGTTCAATCATTCTACTCTTTTTGTCAGAATATAGACCTAAGTTCTTTGCAGTTGGCTCTGACTGAGAAGAACTCACAGTTGCCAGACTTGAGTTGCTGTGGACTACCTGCTGTATTGGGTGATCCTGATCCGGATGTAAGGTACATAATAGTGTACAAATATTATAATTCTTACCATAGATTTCCTGAGGTGACTTTTATCAATAATGTACATGTGAAGGGCATTGGGCTACATGTACATGTAAGTTGTGTCTTGGATGTTACAACATTTTAACTGTACATGTATAAAAATTATATTATTTTGTAGGTTACATTTAAATTCTCTTATGTCATGCACTATTCATGTATAGTACATTCTTTGACTGTAGTTGTTGGGGTTTTTGACTTGAAGAGATGGCTCAAATGCAGGCTAGTTTTGAAGATGACTGGAGACAAAAATTGCAGCACTTGCAAAGTGAGAATCTCCTTGCAAAGATTATTTAGGACATATAGCTAAAATGTGAGCTGAAAAGTTGTTAATTGACTTGAAAAAGGGCAGAAGACATGTGTACAGTAAAAGAAAGTAGAATAGTGTGCGTATAGTGTTTTCTTTAGATTGTTTTTTTTTTCAAATGCATGACAGAAAGGAAAATCGTTAACACAATGTTCTACTTCACAGCTCAGGATTTGATTCAACTGCTGCATCACAGATAACAGAGACTCTTGTAACAGGTAAATTTGATACATGTACTTCCTTAAATATGACTGACAGCTACTTTGATCAGTGCTTTGAAAAACTCTCAGGTAACCAAAATAATAACTTCCTATAATGTAGACTAAACATTGTACTAATGTTGATTCTGTTTAAGTCAATCATCTTTTCTGTACTCACAAGTGTTTATCTTGGCAGATGCTGTATTTGGAACCATTATTTTCTTTTTTAACTTGTACTATGGACTTTGTATCACTGTGAAAGCTCTAATCCTTAATCACTTTTGGTTCAGTATCAAATAAGGCCTATGAAATAAAAAAAGAGCTCTAAGACTTGCTTGTTTCTCAAGAACCAAAATAAGTCATCATTTAATTAGCAACTGGGCATGACTAGAGCACAGCATCATTGATGGTTTTTTGAGAGAAAGACAGTAGAGACCAGTGGAGAGTAAAGAAGTATCCATGACCAGTAGTAGGGGAAATAAACCAACAGCAAACCTAAGTACATGTACATGTATTATTAGAGCAATTTTTGTATAACCTTGAAAATGGTTTCAGTAAGTGTTTGTTATTTGATTTATCAGCGAATGGGTGAAAAGATCAAAAAATGGACTCTTCATTTTCTGCCTAAGAAAACCCTAATATGGAGAAGGCATTGTTCGATTGGCCAATCATTTACAGTATGATGTCAAAGCGAAGTATTGGTTGATTTCTAGAAAGTTCTCGGGCATGAAGTTTTTTTCCCCCCAGCATTCACTTTAACCAACCAAAAACCACAGACGTTTGTATCCGTTCGATAAACCAATAAATAGCTCTATTTCCGTTCGATTGTTGTTTCTGTTTTGTTCGCCCATTTTCATTTCAAGATCATACAAAAATTGCTCTAACTAATTAAAGTGAATCAAACCTCAGGCCAATTGGGGAGAGGCAAGAGCTTTCACCAATTTTTCTTTTCCTCTATAAGTGATATTCAACATTCACAAAAACATCATTGCAAAGTTATTTTTCATTGTCCTTGTCAGCAAGACAAAAATACCCATTCAATGTTAATTATTTTCTCTGTAACAGTCTTTTTGCTGCTTCTTTATGTTTATTCAACCAATGTAGAATTGTGCATGTACATTACAGCTGTAATAGTAATGCTTGCAGAGAACACAAAACACATCCCTTTTGCTTCAAAAAAAATTATAAGATGTAATGATCCCCCTAATCTTCCGCCTTCCCACCTGCCAGTTCATTTTGAACTTCGGTACGGCGCAAGGTGCTTTTTTGTTCTGATTCTTTGGTTGGGTGATCAGTAAATGATTGTCCTTTATAAGAATGATTGTCATAACCGATGCAGAAAATGATTTTTAATCAATATTGTAAAAATTTGAATATTAATTATGTTTGCTATTTTTATTTTAGGGCGTAATCCTCCTTCTGAGTTAAACCTCAGGCCAGTATTTGTCAGGGTCCCACCACCTCTTTACTCCTGTGATGATGAGGTAAAAATTCTTAATAAATAAATCCATGATTGTAAGATTAATGCTTTGAATCTAAACCGAAATAGATCAAGCATGATAGGGCTTATCTCCTTAGTGGTTCCACAGTGATAAATAAAGAAAGATGGTAAATATTTCGCTCAGTAGTGAATGAGAATGATGTAATAAAGATTATAATTAGATTATGGGACAAAAAACGGTATTGATTCCTCAACAGTATTCCATCTTTGTTTATTTATCACCAGACAGTGCACTCTTGTCATTGCTTCATTTTTCTCACAGAATGCAGAGCGTTTTCACATGACATTACAGCAGCCATGTTGGTGTTCCTGTGGGAGTTAAACTCTTTTCTTTTGTAAACACTTTCTTTTGTTTCACCAAATTAATTTGCATAGATGCCAGCCACATAAGTAAAAAGGCTCTACTGATTTTGTTGCCTACCGTGTATGAACCTACATATACTTACAGTATAATTATGGCCTTGCTTTTCATGAGTCTCTCTCCATAGCTCAGTTGGGTAGATTGCCATTTGGTGTCTTAGAGGTCATGACTTCAAATCCTGTCAGGGTCTCTAGAATTTAAGAGTTCCTTCACAGTCATACATCTGTCAATTTGGTGGCCTGTCCTTCATGGCTCAGTTTGGCTAAAGTACATGGCATAACTTGTTTAATGCCTCGAGTATTGTTTCAGCTGGGATCTCAACCCTTAACCCCCTGTTTCACACAGTTTAATACTCTACTAACAGACTGAGTTACATGGTGTGCAATGATTTTGTCACCTCTGCGTCCTGCGTCCCTGATTCATAAAAGTCCCCAAAGATGCAAAGTAATTCATGGCATGCATCCCATAGGATGCAAAGATCGATCGATCTGAATATGTGTATTTGTAGAAGTATCCTCTTCCTGTAATTTCTGTCGCTGTTATTATGGCTGTTGTTTAACGATGCATATTTCTTTTAGCCTTTGCTGTGCTTTAAAATAGAAGGACTGTCTATAATTTAATTTCAGTTTACTGTACTATACAGTTTTGGAGTCTGTCTTCAGATTAACTTCTGGTCACATAACATCACAAGCAGTTTCAATTTTGGACTTGATTTTTTAACTGGGACTCATGATTTTTCACAGATGAGTCCCAGGACTCACCAAAACTTTTTGTAACAAAATTACTGGGTGTGAAATATGTTGCGAAGAGTGCTTTTAGATACAGTGCTTATATTACTTATTTATTGCTTAGTGTTGTATTTCAGTTGTATCTCGGTATGTTTGCACGTACAATTTTATTTTCAGTGCGCACATTATTTATTTATTTAATTGACGTGTACATTTAGTTCATTAATTAACATCTTAACTTTACTTTGCGTTATTTTCCTCACTTTATATCTGTTGTCCGTGACTGTGCCCACATGTTGGGTGGCTCCTCCTAAAATGTACTGCAATTGGTAGAGGATTTAATGGAGCTGAAACCAATTGTGGAATTGCACGCATTTTAGGCATCCTACTGATGAACAGTTGTGACTCGTAGATACATATTGTTCAGCAACTACTATAATTTTGTGTACTTTGAACACCAGGGGCACATGCTATGCTGTCTGTTTTATCCGGGTGTCTCTCAGAAAAAACAGGGAACACAATGTTGTATTGATATTAAGACTAGAGCAAACAAAGGGGAATAATAGTAGGTACAATGATTGCAGCAAAAAGTCAAGAAAGTGAAATTTGTTTAGTAGAAGGCAAAAAACTTTATTAAATGGCTAACCAAGATCAAACATACCGTAAAATTCCGAAAATAAGCCCCAGGGCTTATATTTTTGAAACGCCCTTTTAGAGGGGCTTATTTTTGGAGGGGCCTATATTCAGAGGGCCTTATCTTTGGAGGGAAATTTGCCTTTCTAAATCGATTGGGCTAGCCATACAGTTGGAAGGAAATTTACCGTTTTTGCTTTGTTTTACTTAATATTTGAGGGCAGTTTCCAAGTATAAGCCCCTGGGGGGCATATTTGGAGGGGCGATTTAACTGACGGTTTTTTGCGTTACAAGTTTGTGGGGCTTATACATGGAGAAGCTTATTTTCAGAATTTTACGATATTAGGCTATTATTGCTACTGCATTAACCCTTTAAGTCCCAATAGTGACCAACATCAATTTTCTCCTAACAATATCCATACAATGTCAAGAGATGAGGTTATGAGACTTAATAAAATGATCACCTAAGAGAAAATGCTTTAATCTTTTATAAAATTCTAACTCATTCTTTAAGGAAATGTATAGAGATCAGTTTGTACATGTATATTGGGGCTTCAAGGGTTAACCCGCCGAAGTCTGTCATTATTTTAACAGGGTACAATACCTACAATTACCACATGATACATTGTCAAGGACAATAGTCAAAATATTATGACAGTGTACTGACAGCCGTGGTTAATGAGAGTGTTCCAGATGTGCTTTTTTTCAATCCTGTTGTGTTTGTTTTGTTTGTAGCTCGTGTGGATGAATCCAACCAGTGAAGTGCACACAGTTGAGTGGGACAGTACAATGTGTGTTACAAACAGTGCTGGTAAGTAGACTTGATGCTATCAAGCTGGGCCGAGTTGTTCGAGGCTGGGTTAAGATAACCCAGGGTTAGTGCAAGATTTGAATTCAGATTTGAAAGCTTAAAAAGCATTTCAGTTTTAATTCTTTTTGTCTACAAGTTGATGATTGGAAGCTCTAAAAATAACAGAGAAAATTATCCGAGAAAATGCTTTTGAATACAAGATAAAGAAACCAGGGTAAATTCAACCCCGGGTTAAGTGCTAATTGGCCTTCGAACAACTGGGCCCTGGCTGTTAAAGGGGTAGTGTCACGTGGTTATTACTGTTTTAGGTCAACTCTGTGCCAAGTCATTTCTTAGTGCCCATACGCCACTTGCACATCTCCCACAATCATTAATGCACCATATTTGCCCCCCCAAAATTTTGCATAATTTATTAAAATCTATGAATTGCATTTCGTGTAACTTGCTTTACATTGTGGCTCTATTTTAGTGTTGTTATTTATTTATTTCGCCACTCATATCTTTCTTACGGTAGTTTAAGATTGCAAAACATGTCTAGAAGCAAGAAAATATCTGCAAGCTTGTTACAGCTTTTCTAAGGAGATCTCCCCTTTGTTTTTTGTGGTGCAAACCTGAGTACAGTTCACATGTAAATAATGCATTATAGCTCTTTCAGGAAGCTTTTTTCAAGCAATTTGTGTTTTATTCTCATTGTATTTATAGGTGCAGAAGTTCGTAGGTTAATGAACAAAGCTTTTAAGGCTCCCTTGGTCTTACAACAACAACAGGTGATAAGAATTCTTGTTTTTTGTTGTTGTTGTTGTTAAAAAAGCATGCCACGCTAGACCTTTAGCCTTGGTATCTGGTCACCTCGCCACCAAACTATCTCGCCACCAATGAAGTCGCCACTAACCATCGTTTTGATCTGTGATTCATGAACGGAAATTTCTTAACCGTTACTATATTTTTATATTTCAAAGAAATGACCAATGGTTGTGAAACGTTTCTGCCAGCGTTTTAAATCTCTCAAATGCCAAAGTTTACATTCACCGAACCTATACTTGTGTTATTACTGTTTGCATTACCAAGAGCATAAAACGTCCGACGCAAGGATCGTCAATTAGGATCGACAGATTTGTATTTGGGTCGACTTTAAATTCGAATAACCTTGACGAAAAAGTAAAAATCTTAGGAAAGTAATCCTAGGTATTAAACTGTGGCAATTATTTCAGAGTTATTCGTTGGTGACGAGTCGACGTATTGGTGGCCATTTCGTTGGTGGCGAGATGACCGTAAACCTTAGCGTTAGGCTACTTCTTTGTGCCAAGTAGCACACGGGAATTAGGGGTCTCAGTGTTGAGGAGTGTCACGGCTGTGATCATCGTAGATAAACATAATGTAAAATATACCATTGACTGTTTCTACTGTACTTGTCTCCTGTTAACCAACACTACTGTAAAAGCAGTGAAAGAACATCTAATAAAGAAAAATCGGTTTACGGGCAAGTCGCCCGAAAGTGACTAGTTTCTTTCAAAGAAACATCCTATGTTAGTCTGCGCAGCATGCAGTTTTTTGTTGGGTTCTTCGTTTGTGGTTCGCAAAGTAGATACACCCTCGCGAAAGTAACCTGAGATCAGGCCTAGCCTGTTTTTATTTGTCTTTTCGTTCTTTTCGAAAACATCACGCGCGCTCGAAGGACTTTCAAGAGAATATAGAGGGTCTGTGAACAGGCTAATCCTATCTATACTTGTGGAATGTATCTTTTTGTGTTCAAATGGATATCCCCAAATGTCCATGTATTCCACTATGTTCTGTATAATATGTATTCAGAATTGTTTACTAAGGTGTTTGTGGTATGGAGGTTTGTTATATCAAGGTTCCATTGTACAATGGTCATATTCTGCAACTATGAACCTGTGCATGGAAGGGTACATTTAGGTACTCTTTGCTGTAATGCTTTTCTTACTTTTCCTTTAGTGTACAGTGCATGTATTCTTTACATGGGTCTTGTGTTGGCTTACTAATTTTGTTGTTTTTGTTTCCAGCAAGTTTTAAGTGAACTTGAAAAAGACCCTAAACTGGTGTATCACGTAGGACTTACTCCTAGCAAGGTACGTGAACTCCACGGCATAAAAACAGCAGAAAACAAACAAAAAAACAAACAAAACAATGATACAGATGACTTTTCTCACACTTATTTAAGGTTTTTAATTCTTCGTTAGCGGTAATTTGTTCTTGCAATAGTTAAGAATGCTCCTTTCTGCACGGAAATTTTTGTCTTATTAATAATTTGTGCCGCATGCATATACGTATTTGATTGATTTTTTTTCCACGTGAACTTTGTATTTAACGATTTTTAGTAACCTTGTATCTCTTATTACCATTATTCTCTCAATAGCTCCCAGATCTTGTGGAGAACAATCCATTGATTGCCATTGAAGTCTTGTTGAAGTTAATGCAGTCGAATCAAATTACAGAGTGAGTGGTATTTTTTTGCAGTTCCTTCACTGTGCAGTTCTTAGCCTGTGTAGCTGGCGGAAGTAGCGCGCCAGAGCTGTAGTTTGTAGTTTTGGCAGGCCCCAAAACTCCCTTGCTTCGCGTGGCGGCTCTGCCGCTAAAGATGCATGGATTCCGCTGTCACGTAATTTTTTACACGTGTCAATAAAAGAACCGAACGAAAGTCACACGAGTGGTAGGTCCTTATTGTATGCTGTAGGTTGTTTTGGTAAAATATATAGAACCGCCTCGTTAATTTTCGCCTCTTTGTTATTTCGATATTGGGAGAATGTCCGATATGTCTCCAAGACACACTAGTCATAAAGGTTGAAATGAAGGCGTTAATGAGCAAACGTCCAAGAAGCTGCGCTTCCTCAGGCGTTTTAGTCCTTTTCTTCACAGAGACGAGCGCGAAACGCGAGAGACACGCGAGTGACTGGTGATGAAACGCAAGGGACATGTGGGAATGAGAAAAATGAGAGGTGAAGACGTCTCACCCGTTGTCTCCGTGCCGCCTTCTTTTGCGCGCACATTTTCAGTGAGGGAGAGACGTCTGGGTACGAGGCAGAACCAGAAGCATATATATGCTTCTATTACAAAACCACTCGTCTTGCTGTCTCTCCTTCGTGCCCTTACACTCACTCCTGTTACCCGGATGTTTTACGCGTACATCCGCTGTACCAGTGCACTACATTGATTCTGTCTCTTGAGCTCTTAGAAAGAAAGGTCTCATTGTAAGCTACGTGAACCTATGCTCTACTTATGGTTAGGTCAGTGTGAAGAAGATAAAAGGTTACTTACTGTGTAGCGAAGAGTATTTCTTTTACCCCAAACTACGTTTTACCTCAAGGTGTTCAAAATTCCAGAAAAAAAAACTCTCCTGATCCGTTTTCTCGGCATTGTGCCTTTTTGTTTTTAGATATTTTTCAGTCTTAGTAAACATGGAAATGTCGCTGCATTCTATGGAAGTAGTTAATCGACTAACTACGGTAAGTTAAAGTTGTTTTATTATTTGCATAATTGTTGACAGGGCATTTCATACCTTCTTGAGACGATATACATGTATTACTGTAAATAGCATTTTTGGTCAGGTAGTTTAAGAGAGGGGTCTAATTACAGTGAGACTATTCGAACTGGGGCACTTGGAAGAAGAGTATCCAATAACAATGTGTTTTGAAAACAAAAGATTCTCAAGTTTTTTTGCAAGCGAACCAATAAAATTCAAGGTTCAAGAATGCAACCGTTGAAAACTTTGAAACAGTTTGAACTTACCAGACCTCCTCAGGAAACAACCCTCAAATTCATGAATGTTATTGGTCCGTTTGTGAAAACACCTTGAGTATCTTTTGTTTTCAAGAATCGTTGTGATTGTATAATCTTCATCCAAGTGCCCCGGTTCGAGTAGTCGCACTGTAATTCTGTATTTGCTAAATAACCCTGCGTGCAGACTTCTCCTTGTTCCTTTATTGCACACGAGTAGGAATAATTGAAAAAATAATTAAAATATAATACAATTATCCTCTCCCCCTATGGGTCTTTTTAGGGACAATAAAAAGAATAATTAAAATAGAACACAACAAAGATAAACCTCAACTAGTAGGAGGCGAACCAGTTGGCTATTTTACAAGCATGGCCGAGGATTTGAACTGGGGACTGCCAAGAACGAATCCAGCTCGAAGTTGTTAGCGTCCGGGGCGGGACTTGAACTCGGGGCTTCCGAATTACAGGTCCAGCGTTCTAACCGCTCGGCCACGCAGCCTCCACATACTGGTTCTAATCCATACAGCAGAATAAAACCATTGTTTGTCTCTTTCAGGCCGTAGATCTTCCCCAAGAGTTTGTTCACCTGTACATTTCAAACTGTATCTCGACTTGTGAAAATATAAAAGATAAATACATGCAGAACAGGCTTGTCCGACTGGTAAGTCAACATATTTGCAGTCATCTGCATGCGACATTAGCCTGTTTTATTGAGCCACAGTTACCCACAGTCTCAGTCAAAATTGTTGCGACACTTTACCTTCTCCTTACTCTCCCAATGTTGGTCTGCCAGATTTGGTGAGATAACTGCGATAAACAACATTGGGAGGAGGCGGGCCAGAAGTAGAAAAACAGCGTTCTATGGAAGTGTCTGAGACTTCAGGTTATACAGTTGAACAAACTGCCAAAGATTCTGTTCCTCAGTCTATATTATTTGTATTCGTTTATTTCAGGTCTGCGTTTTCCTTCAGTCTCTTATTCGTAACAAGATTATTGATGTCAAGGTATGTTTCACGCTTCAAAACAAGGGGTTTTTCTTCCCCTGTGTACTGAATGAGAGACCCTAACGAATAACCA